TATCAAAGTTCATGTCAAAAATAAACATAAGAACTTTTTCTTATAAGATTCACAAATTTATTAACTATTACAAATGGCCAAAAAGACAATAAATAAAGCTATGACATCAAGAAAAGAATTATAAAGAAAGAACAAAGTATATCTTTCCAATTCCAGCCAAGAATAATTAAATAAAAAAGAACGCCCTTTCAAAGACGATGCTAAACACTAAGATCTATCCCATAACTCTGAAACTTCCTGCTCTCATGCTTAAAAAAACTAGAGTATATCTTTGTCCAGATCAACTAAACATTAGTTGAAATTATCACTTTCCACAGAAACTCAACCCTTGCCCTCACAAAAGCACATCAGCATTTCAAAGAGCAGTCTATTCCACTTGCTTGGGTTAACCCTTAACCCAGTTAAATTAGCTTCTTGAAGAAGCCTATGAAAAAATGAAAGTTGATGGGGGTAGTTTGGCAAATCAACAAGAGAATGAAATAGTGAATTGCAAAAAAAGAATCACGATGAATCTAACATCTCTAACGCCATAACCTTTTGTCATTTTGAGAATTTTTCAAATAAGCATTCCCGAGAATAGTCAAATAAATAACACAAATCTTAACTCTAACCCTCAAGTTGCACCTGAACTGTAAATGCCAATTCATTGTCCTATTTTCAATGAGTGAACCAACAGAATTTATAGTGAATTTTTATGCAAAGAAAGATTACATAGTTCAGGAAATGAGCAAGGGTGCAAGAACCAATCCAACATTCCTCCCAAAGAGAATCTTATCCGGCAAACCCGGATTCCATGTTCTGACTTGGATGAAAGAAAGAAATCACTAAAATATGAACTTCCGAGGGTTTCAGAGAAAACCATTCACCAATGCAATCATGGAGCACACTCAGTTTACAAGGACCAGCCAAAGCCTTTGGTTAACTCAGGAAACGAGAAGGAAAATAATTGACTGACCCCTCAAGTCCTTTTAAGTTTTGCATTGGACAATAACGTCAAAAAAAAAAAAAAAAATCTTAGGTCTTCCTCTCAAACACCGAGGATAAGAAAGGTTACAAATGGCAATCAAGAAAAATGATCTTCAATTGGAAACGAAAGCAAAATCAACTTGGGTTTGAAAAATAGAGGTAATTTTTCCATTAAAAAGGATCAAACCAAGGATTCACTTCGCAATATTTGGAGACCTGTAATTGGGAAGCGGAAATCAAGAGAAATGATCTATAATTGGAGACTAATGCAAAATGAACTTAATTTTGAACAAATACAACTCAAATTCTGTTTCCAAGCTCACAGTTGATTATGAGCCAATCCAGTCTTTATGCTCTGTAAAATATAAAACCTTGTGAAATCATAAAATGCGAGCATTAATACGAGATCCTTTCATGTGCATTT